GGGAAAACTGAACAGCCACATGCAGTAGAATGAAACTGGACCACTTTCCTATACTATACACAAAAATAAATTCAAAATGGTAAAAGACCTATATTTGAGACAGGAAACCATCAAAATCCTAGAGGAGAACACAGGCAGTAACCTCTTTGACATTGGCCATAGCAACTTCTTGCTAGATACATACCTTGAGGTAAGAGAAACAAAAGCAAAAATGAAGTATTGGGACTTTATCAAGATAAAAAGCTTCTGCATGGCAAAGGAAACAATCAACAAAACTAAAAGGCAATCTACAGAATGGGAGAAGATATTTGCAAATGACGTATCTGGTAAAAGGGTTAGTATGCAAACCTATAAAGAACTTATAAAACTCAACAACCACAAAAACAAATAATCCAGTTAAAAAATGGGCAGAAGACATGAATAGATATTTTTCTAAAGAAGAATCCAGATGGCTAACAGACCCATGAAAATATGCTCAACATCACTCATCATCAGGGAAATGCAAAACAAAACTACAGTGAGATACCACCTCACACCAATCAGAATGGCTAAAATTAACAACACAGGAAACAACAGGTGTTGGCAAGGATGTGGAGAAAAGGGAACCCACTTGCACTGTTGGTAGGAATGCAAACTGGTACAGCCCCTCTGAAAAACAGTATGGAGGTTCCCCAGAAAATTAAAAATAGGACTAGTCTATGTCCTAGCAATTGCACTACTGTGTATTTACTGAAAGGATACAAAAATACATAGTTGAAGGGATACATGCACCCCAATGTTTATAGCAGCATTATCAGCAGTAGCCAAATTATGGAAAGAGCCCAAATGCTCCTCAACTGATGAATGGATAAAAAAGAAGTGGTTAATTACTCAGCCATAAAGAATGAAATCTTGCCATTTGCAATGAGGTGGATGGAGCTACAGGGCATTATGCTAAGTGAAATAGTCAGAGAAAGACAAATACCATATGATTTCACTCCTATGTGGAATTTAAAAAACAAAACAAATGAACATAGGGGGAAAAAGGAGAGAGGCAAATCAGAAAACAGACTCTTAACTGTAGAGAACAAACTGAGGGTTCCTGGAGAGGCGGTGGGCTGGTGGGATGGGTTGAATGGGCTCTGGGTATTAAGGAGGGCACTTGTGATGGGCACTGGGTTTTTGTATGGAAGTGATGAATCACTGAATTCTACATCTGAAACTAATATTACATTATATATTAACTAACTGGAATTTAAATAAAAACTTGAAGAAAAATAAAAGTAACTTATTTCCCACAGAATACTTGGGATTGTGACATATGCCCTGAAATCCAAAAGAAAGGAAAAATAAGATGCTACAACTTGTAAAAATTTGAATTAAGCTTCTGCTTTATTCCTGACTCACAAAATGGTGCCCGTTATATTTGATATTTTGTCCAAATTCAATTTTCCAGTGGTTTCCTAACAGTAATTTTTTCTTTCCAGAGGGACTATGTCTGAGGAAAGGGAGAGAAACAGATGAATTAATGGGGAAAAAATAGCAGGTAATTATAATTACCTGAAAGGACACACACACACACACACACATGCACCGCCTCCCCGTTTCTTAAAAGATTTATTTATTATTTGAGAGAAAGAGCACGCAGGGTGGGGGGAAGCATGGGTGCATAGGGAGAGGGAGAGAATTTCAGACTCCCATTGAGTGCAGAGTCTACGGGGCTGTATCTCACGACCCTGAGATCATGACCTGAGCCAAAACTAAGAGTCAGATGCTCAGCCGACTGAGCCACCCAGGCAGCCCTTCTTTTTTTCTTTTTTTAAGAATTGTTTATATATAGAGAGAGAGAGAGAGAAAGAGAGAGGAGAGAGAGAAGGTGTGTGAATAGGAGGAGGGGCAGAGGAAGAGGGAGAGAAAATCTCAAGCGGACTCTGCACTGAATGCAGAGCCCTTTACTGGCTAGGTCTCATGACCTGAGCCGAAACCAAGAGTCCTACCCTTAATTCATTGTGCCACCCAGGCGCCCTGCCTCCTATTTTTAAGGGGGAGTTTCTAAAATAACAAAGAGAGGTCCAGGTTGAAAAAGGTGGAGGTAGTTAGTTGTATTGCTGGTTTCAGGGCTGCTAGATTGGTCTGGGGGCACAGCTGGGGCGGTCAAGTGGCACCCACGAGGAGGAGGGCTCAGCTCATATGTGGAAGGCCCTCACCTACTTCTAGTTTTCCTCGGCGTGCAAGTGAGCATGCTGAACATCTTCATGAAGTTGCACCACGGAGAGCATGAGAGACCCAAGTTCCCTACCCCCATCTCCACATCAGGGCCAGGCCCTTTCCTTGGGGAGATGGTAATCGTACTTTATTCCATAACTCTCACGTGGAGTCACTTCACGCCTGGCTATAAAGATGAATGAAGAGAATCTGGACCACTACCCAGTGGGGACCACAGCACTGGTTTGGACCATGACTCGGCACACAGACCAGAAAAGTATATGGGACCTTAAAGTCCCCTTCCTTACTTGTATCAAATGAAACCAGTTTACTAATCTTCCATCCTTTTGCTTTAGGCAAGAGAAAATTAACTGCTCTGGCCGGGGGGTATGGTCTACTATTTCTCCAAAGCAGTGTACCAGAAAGGCAAAGCAGACTTGAATACATTATCCTCCCTGGCCCCAGAATATAATCCCCAAACACCTCAAAGTGTGAATTATTGAGAAATGCTATCCCACTGTGGTGAGAGACTGGTGGGGGGATGGTTGTGTGGGCATGGAGTAGTCCCTGGTGCTGTAGCCTGTCCTTGGCACCAAAAAGAAAGAAAGAGAGAGAAAAACCATAGTGTAAAACCCCATATGGAACCAAAACTCCAGCTGATGCCTATTTATCAGTGCCAGTAGCTGAAGAGTGTGGATTTTAGTTTTAAACAATTTCCTTTTGGGCTCTGCTACTTTCTTTGTGCCCTGTCCTTTGAGATTCCTAAGTTTCTTTCAGTCATTGCTAGTATATGTTTACCTCTCCCTGTGCTTGCTACATAACATTATAAATATATAACATTATAACACTATGTAACATTAGATATGGTATATAATTATATATAATGTAAATATATAGGTATAAACATATTATAGGTATATAATTATAGGATGCTGGCCAGTCTGACTGGTGCTTCTGGTCACACCTGATCTTCTTGGTGGTTCTGATTAAACACAAGGGCTTTAACAACTTCAAGATTTCTAATTAAGGCACACCAGTGTTCTAGTTTTCTCTCCTTTAGTTCCTTACCCGCAGGCATTTCTATCAGATTTCACCCTATTTAACTACTGCTCTCAATTTAACAACCACTCTGATAGGATGAGAACCTGATCTTGAGTAGGGTGTGTCAGAATGCATGTGAACCAGATACTCTCCTCACCCCCAAGCAGGTTTTTGCTCTTCAGTGATTGTCAACCAAAGAAAACTAGAGCACCTGTTTTCTTCTCTTTTTATTATTATTCTCATAATTCTTAAATTCAAGTGAAATTTAAAATTCCTGGGTTGAAGTTGGATTTAAGCAAATGATAGTTTGTGGATTGAGCATGATTAATTTTCTCTATGAAAGATTCATTTCCTATTGTGGGGTAGGGTAATAGGGATGTGTGTGAAATTTTAGATGCGGCCAATTTGAGGCTTTACAGAAAAATGAAATAATATTAGGATAACTGCTAAATGCAAGGGTTAGGCATTGGAGATCTAGATATTTGTTCTACTTTACCCTCTCTCTACCTCTCTCATGGACCTTAAATTAGTTGACTCACCTTACTACCCCTAAAAACCTAAATGTATTCTTAAGAAGCTCACAAGGTATATGTCTGTTACTGTACAATTATTATTCATTATTATTACTAATACCATCAGAAAAAATAGTGTGTAACTTCAACCAGCCTGCGCTAAAACATTAGAGCATATATCCTTATGCTCTAAGGAGCAAGAAGTTTTTGCTATGAAAATTCTCATGTGCAACTTTTAATCCTCTCAAATAGTTTGATCTTTTTTTCTTTACTAATAAATTTTTCATTAAGTTTCAAATAGAGAATGGTTGGATTGTTTCTCACTTTCAAGATACAGTTTTGGCCTTCCAGACCACTTACAAGCTGAACAAGATATAATAGTAGGCCTAGGAAATACTTCAGTTGAAAGCCTTGAGTATCCCTGCTGGATCTTAGCTTGACTTGTGATCCTTAGCAAATCAATGAGTCTCTATCAAGCCAGTTTTTCTCTAAACCTAGTTTGACAATATCTAGTTTATGGAATGGCTGGTAAAATTACAGTTTTGAGCCATTTCATTTTTGAATGCATTATATACATTATTGTGAATATAGTTGCAAATCTACTCCCCATAGAAAGTTTATGTAGTCAATCCTTTACTTAATAAATAGTACCTTTTTTTAAAAGAGAGGGAGAGAGGTGGGGGAGGGGCAGCAGGAGAGGGAGAGAGAGAATCTTAAGAAGGTTCCATGCCCAGCCCTGGGCTTGATCTCACAACCCTGAGATCATGGACTGAGCCGAAATCAAGAGTCGGATGCTTAACTGACTGAATCATACAGGTGTCCCAATAAGTAGTATCCTGTAAATGTGTATGTAGAAATATAATGGGGGGGAGGGAGAAATGGAAAATGGCTATTTTTTTTTACTCTGCTATGCAGTGGGGAGGCATAATGAGGAAAATCATAAAATCAAATAACTCAAATTACAATTTCAAATAAAAAAATATTTGCTTGATGTTGTTGGACTTGTCTCTAAAAACGTACAAATAAAGAGCCAAGAGAGAATAAATACTAAGAATTCTGAGGGAGCTTTTTAATCATGGAACTATGACCATTCCATTGCTGCCAAAGTCTTTGATTACAGAAATACATCTGATATACCTTTTGGAACTACTGGATTTGAAATGGCATATTGCTATTATTATTTTTTCCCCTTTCCTATATTTGTTCACTAGGTAAGATGTCATTTTGGACCCCTTTTAATTCTGGATTCCTTTTTGTCTTTAGGAGTTGTACGGATGTTCTGTGCTGCATCATCTTCATACTGTTCATCATTGCCTACATTCTTTTAGGACTTGTGGGTGAGTAAATAAAGGTATAGAAGAGATTTAAAATTTGCTAATGGAATAACAAAGTCAGTGTCACATTTTGAATATTAATCATTTTCTTCCCAAAGCCTTGTTATTATTGATTATTGTCTTTTCTGGAGGGAATGTGCCTCACAGGTACTCACTGGGTAGCAGACTCCAAGAATAATAAACACAAAGTAGTTCATTCAAAGGCAAGCCCAAATTACTTAAGTGCATACAATTATAAAGAAGGAAGAAAAAAGCTTAGGGTTTGGGGGCACCTGGGTGGCTCAGTCAGTTAAGCATCTGCCTTCAGCTTGGGTCATGATCCTGGGGGTCCTGGGATCAAGTCCCCACTCAGCAGGGAGCTTGTTTCTCCCTCTCCCTCTGCTCTCTCAAATAGATAAATAAAATCTTAAAAAAACCTAATGATTTCTTTTTAATCATTTTGACTTGGGAAATTCTATTAAGCAGCTAATTATGTTCACATTGCTATTTACTAGTATGCACTAGGGCCTAGATTAGTTGAGGTAATATATAAACTTTTCTTTTTATATGCAAATTAAAAAAGGAACAATTATTAAGAATTTCACCACATAATTCTTTGACGTTTAAGAAGTCTTATTGTCTTTACCTACCAGGAAGAGATATTCTGTTATTTACTGTTAGGTTAAAGATTTTTCTTTGAAGGTGAAAATAAAGAGAAAAAAATATACAAATTATTTACATTTTTTAAAACCAGCCAAAGAGTAGTGAATATTTTCTGTAAAAAAGTTTCATAGTTGCATGTGAATGTATCACTTTTTCTCTCTGAGACTGAAGTCCTGTCCCTTAGATGCTGGCTTAAGGAATTTTAATGTATTATTATGAGAGCAAGGGCTAGAAAACTTCAGTAATTCTAGTACCAATAATGAATGGGCTGGAGTTAGTGTGGACAGAATGCATAAGCAGAAAGAAGGCTGTGCATACTGAGGAAGAGTGGAAAATGCTCTTTCCTGTTCTTCAGTTTTATCCCCCAATAAGAGAAATACTTTGAGAATAGCAATTGAAAGTAATTTTCAAAAGATCATCTCAGTAATATCATGCAAAAACTATGAAGAATTGGAGAATTCAAAAACATAAGGCAGGAAGAAATAAAAATAGGGAGGGAAGAATAAAGGAGAATAAACCACAACACGAAATAATGTTCTCTAAGACCTTCTGAAGATTCCTTTGGTATTTCTTTTTTTTAAAAAAAAAAAAAAGATTTTATTTATTTATTTGACAGAGAGAGAGACAGCGAGAGAGGGAACACAAGCAAGGGGAGTGGGAGAGGGAGAAGCAGGCTTCCCAATGGACAGGGACCCCAGTGTGGGGCTCGATCCCACGACCCTGGGATCAGGATCTGAGCCAAAGGCAGATGCTTAACGACTGAGCCACCCAGGTGCTCCTTCTTTGGTATTTCTTCCAAGCATTTTAACTTCTCAAACATTAAGGCAAGTTGTAGCACAATACAGTCTATATGTTGAATATTATAGTAACATAAATTTTCTTATGCAGTTAAAAGAATTTTAGCTTCTCTAACTTTGGGACACATCTTTCTTGTCTCTAATTTTTTTTTGTTGGTTGTTTTTACTTTTTGTTGGAGAATTGAAATTGGTTGCATAAGAGAAAGGAGACTTGGAGTCAAGTTGATCTAGGGTTTCCTCATATTATTTGGTGGACTTGGGCTAGTATCTTAACCTCATTTTTCTCATGTGTGAAGTATAGAAACACTACTTTGCAGGGCTGCTGTGTGGAGTAAATGAAATGATATCGAGGTACACCAGTAATGGTACATAAAAATTACTAAGCAGTATTTCATTTGCTGTCATTGTGTAATCTAGTTGTTCTGAATTTTAATAAATTGCTTTTAAATGTAATTTCCTATATTGTTTCTATGGCAGCCCATAATTTTGGCTATTAAAGTTTGAATGCATACAGGAACTTCATAAGGATCTCATACTGTGCCTGGAATCTTTCCATCAGGAGATCCTATGGCATAACAAATAGTCTCCTCCATTTCTCAGGGTCAGTGTGTTGTAATCCACAGAGAAATGTGTTCTGGCCTTTTATAGAGCTGGAAACCCACTGACACTCTCCTGTTGACACAGTAGAGAAAAGGGATGGGAGTGCTCCCCATCATTACCTCTGGAGCAAGATAAGAACTTGGCCCCTTGGTTTAAGATCTCCAGATTCAATTTATAAATACCTTAATTCACATAAAGAAATTGAAGGATAAATGTTCTTCAGTGAAAAACTGTGTTCAATATTGGATTTAGTGATTCTTCCAAATTAATCCTGATGCCACTGATTAAAATGAATGACTCATAAAATTTACTTTATATATACACACACATGTGTATACATATGTACATATTTACTATATATATGTGTGTGCATATATATGTATATACATATACACACACATACTTCCCTCATTCCTGAACTACAGATAGTCTAACTAGTCTAAGATAAACTTAACTCTTCAGTTATGCCCTATGTTGAATTAAAAGAAGAATGAAGAAAAACGATTAGCAGAGTTTACTAGGAGTGTGAAAATTTTTTTGACGTGAAAGAATATATACCTTCACCTGATGAAAGATGAGGCTAACTCAGTTTCACTGATGTGTTATAAGTAGTGTGAAAATCAATAAAAGGAACCTTGTTTAAAGTAGCTGTCCTGCCTGCCACTCCTCATTGATTGCAAATCCAACAGGAAGAGAGGTACCCCCAAGTCAGTACTACTTTATTTACTTGTTGAAAAATACAGAAGTGTTTTTATTTTCAAATTTTAATTCCAGTATAGTTAACATACAGTGTTATTTTAGTTTCAGATGTACAATATAGTGACTCAACAAGGTCAGTACTGATTTTGCTGCTACTTTACTCTCCCAGAAGGAAGAAAAGTTCTCTCCCCCAGCAACAGCCCAGCCAATTACCAATGAGAGACAGTCATAACTCAGCCAATGAGAAACCACTATAGTTCAAATTCCAGGTTACTCCAATTGACTTTTTGTTTATAATAGCCCTCTCAGCTTCCCTCTTCCCCCTTTATAAAGCCGTGTTCCTCTCCTTTGCTTAGTTTTGTTGTAGCTTGCTCTGTTATTCCCGAGTTAAGCCCATTTTTACTGGTGAAACAACTGGCAGTTTTATTTTTAAGGTTCATAGTAGTTTGACATCTTTTGCCATTTTGTTAGATCAGGACCTTCTAAGGTGTATCTTTTGTCCGTTTCTTTTCATAAGAAGTTTTACCATGAAAGAGCCATGTTTCTTGCAATTTCTGCTGAGGAAAAAAAAAAAACCTGTTCTATGCCCTTTATGTGGAATATGGCCGGCTAGGGTAACACTTGGATGCAACAAAGGCACTTGACATTCGGCTAATGAAAAGCAGAACCTCTGTTCAAGTGAGTAAAGTGGAGTCTGGGTAGAAGGTAATCACATCTCCTTGAAAGATCAAACTAACGTTTATGATAATAGCTCTCTTTTGTCCCACTTCACTGATGGTTGCTATCCAATTATTGTACTAACTAGAAAAATGAATAGGAATGTTTATTATGCAAATTGTCCTTTTATCCTTGCGCTAACATTATACAATAATAGCACAATTTTAACATTGAATAAATTTTATTTTTGTTTCCTCTTTTTAAAAGAATTTTAATTCCAGTATAGTTAACACATAGTGTTATATGAGTTTTAGGTACACAATATAGTGATTCAACAATTCCATATATTACTTAGTGCTTGTAAGATAAGTGTACTCTTCTTAATTCCCTTCACCTCTTTCAACCATCCCCCCACCCTCATTTTCCTCAGTAGGTAAGAGTGTGTTTTGGTTTATCTCTTCATTTTTCCTGTTTGTTTTGCTTCTTAAAGTCTACATATGAGTGAAATCATATGGCATTTGCCATAGTTCTTTTTCTTTTCAAATGTATTTCCAGTTGAGTGTGTTAGTTCGTTGTATTTACATACGAAGCACTTGGAATTAGGGTCCAAAGTTTGGTTTTGCTTTTCAGGCTTAGGAATAATTATTCCTATTAGTTGAGATGATAGGACATTAATACAAAAGTAAAATAATATAAGCAAACTGAGAACTCTCACCATGCTGTGAGAGGCCCAAGCCATGTGGAGAAGCCATGTGTAGGGGTCCCGATCATCAGGCTCAGCTGAGCTCCCAGGAATAGTATTTACTCTCCACTTTGTAGGGTTTTCAGATAATTGAAGCTCTGTCAACATGTGACTAGATGGGCCCCAGCTGAGCCTTCCCCAAATTGCTGACAGCCAATTATTGTATTAAGCCAGTGGGTTTGGAGGTATAAAAATAGATAAGGAGAACAAAATTTGGTACCTGAAAGTGGGTTGCTGCTTAACAAAACCTAAAACACGGGCATTGGTTTTTAAACCAGGGCATGTTCAGAGGCCCAGTGGGTTTGGAGTAAACTGTTAAGAGTTTGAAGGAAAGTGAGAAAAATGCAATTAGAAACAGATGTTACATAGTGGTGACAGTTTGGCAACGCTGCTGCAGATGGTAATGTGGGAAATAGGAAATGTACCTGATGAATTCAGTGATCTAGCTAAAGATCACGCTTAGGAGAGGAACCAACCCTGAAGAGCCTCATCCACACCTGGCCCTGACTTAGGTGATGAGATCCAGACTTTGAACCTGAGCCTGATGCTTTAATTGGATGAGGCTTCTGGGGATCTTGGGAGAGTATAAACATATTTGATTGCAGAGGGAATGTAAAAAATGTGTGGCCAGAGGCTGGACTAAGTTGTTTTAACACATGGCTGTGACTTCTTTGCCCTTCTTTCTGCCGAGAGGTGAAGCTTGGGATTCCCTCTTCAATAGAGAAATGAACTAAGCCAAATTAGATTAGTTAAGGGCCTTGATGTGCAAGTGATTTATAGATCAGTGGCAAAGGATTAATGGAAGGCCATCATGGATCCACTGCACTTTTCAGTAGACTGAAAGTACCAAGTACAGAAAGGAGGAA